AAATTGGAGAATTTAGAGATTTGTTTGTGAGTTTATAATAATTATAGGTTAAAGCGTTTGTGTACTAAGATTCCATCTATTTTAACAGCAAAAGGTAAGAAACAAAGTGTGGTTCAAAATTAAAGAACAAACACATGGAATAGAATAAAATAAAACCCTCAAATTATACAGAATTAGCATCTCTCTATTTGGGCCAGGCCCGTTGTTAAATTTTCCTCCATCATCGGCCTTTTTCGGCGTGCCGAAGGTCAAACTAGAGGTGTCCATTTTACCTGCGGTATCCGTCCGGAATGGCCAAAAAATGTGAGTTGATTATCGAGATTAATATTTTCAACCACAAACTCGTAAAGAAAAATGAAAATAATAACAAAAAGCATAAACAACTCAACAAAAAAAATGCGACGAGCGAGATGATGGAAAAGATGGACCCGGATACCACAATCATCCTTCCAGTGATGAAGCTACCTTGGATGAGGGAGAGTTCGAGTACGACCACCCACAAGAGACTTAAGAACAAACCTTCTATTTTTTCACAATCGTCCCTACTTCGAATGAGGCGTAGGTGACCTCATATCTAAAGGGAAGCATAGGTCAGAAGCTAGTTCGACGCTGACCTCACTATTTTTATTGAGGAACAAACATATCGCCGTCAACTTCACATCAAAACCAAAAAGATAGAAAATAACTGAGGCCGAACAAAGGTTTTCTAATGAGTGAGATTGGGCACAAATGAAAAGGCAAATTGGGCAAAAGTCCAAACCCATCTCGCATCAAGCCGATCTGAGGACACCTCGAAACGTGCATCTCTCGCACTCGTAGTCTAATGAATTTAGAAAAGCTCGAATCCAACTCGACAAAAGCTTGATTTTCATGTTTCAAGATAATTAAAATAGGATAACTAAAACATTTAGAACTTCATTCATTTAACCAAAGAATAATTGACTAAACAAAATTAAGAAGAGAAGGAACAAGAAGAGTAGTATGGTTTGATAAGTGAAGTTAAGCTAAGACCCCAACAATTTGCTTCACAATTTAGTCGGGTAAACCATGGCTCCATTTGGTTGATAATGGCCTTCCTTCCCCTTCCCCTTCTCCTCGTCTTCCTCCTCATTCACTTGATTCTCCTTCTGGTTCACAAACAGACCAAACTCTCCATCCCCATTATTATTCATCATTGGCGACTGCCATGCCCCCTGCCCGCCATACTGCTCCGCCATGAACGCATCGTTAAACTTCTCGCCCCTCTCCTCCGCATCCATACACCCCTGTTGCACAACCAGCAGTGACACATTTGTCGCAAAGCTCGACGTCACCAGCGCATCCCCCAGCACCCCCAGCTCTGGTGAGTCGCTCCACTCCGACAGCCCCGACACTAGTGGAGACACCATCCCTCTGCCCCTTCCAACAATGTACAGGTTGAACTCGTTTTCCAGTGTGCTGATTGCCTTGAGCGTTTCATCCCCGTTGTTCACCGCCACTTCTGCGTATCCGATTGATGGGTTGCTTGAGATTTGCAGCAGGAAGTTTTGTATATAATCGTTGTCAATCACCTTCTCCTTCTCTGCTCCTGCTATGGCTGTAAGAATCTCGACGTTTTCTTCTCCAGGGAAGTCTGTTATGCTCATTTCTTTGACTTCGTCTCCAGGGAGGAATCTTACGACGGTTACCAGGATGCCTGGATGCTCCGACATTCGCCATGCGTAAGCCAGAGCTTCTCTGTCGTCGGGGCCACCAATGAAGAACAGGGCAAAGCTTTGTTGCAGGCGGTTGGAACGACTGGAGTCGGTGAGGCTGGTGGCGGAGAGGCCACGATCAACAAGGACAGCGACTGAGCAAGGGGCATTCATCATCACATTGTTGTTGACAAGCCCAATTGAGGGGTTCCCATCTTCCAATCCGCCATCCAGGGTGGGCTGCTTGTGAAATGGGAGTATGATCAAGTGAACACGCTTCTCCGCCGCAATGCCACAGATGTCGTCGTGCATTGTGGCATATGGCGACACCGCCGTGAGGGAATGGACAGTGACACCATTGCTCATGTTCTCAAACTTATCGAACGCATTGATAATGTGGTCGGTCTGGACCTTGGCTTTGGCAGAGCTGGCTTTGCATTGGCCATGGACGATCAACATTGCTGTGGCACGACCGGCAAGCTCGACCAGGTGAATAGCGAACACTAAGAGGGGCGATTGCTTGGTGGGGTTTGAAGCTCCAAGGAGATGGATGATGCCATACACATTGCGGGTGGAGTGCACACAAGCAACCACTCGGAACTCTGCCTCTGGTTTGATGCTTTGAATGGTTCTGTACCTATTTTTCCTCGATGTCTTGACTGATTTGTAGGTAAAAGCCAAGGTTGGTCCAATCAGAGCCGTCATTACCCAGAAAGATATGATCATCACTGTGAAAGTGAGAGCACCCAAAGCCTAGCAAACCACAGAAAACTTCAGTCAATTTAGATTCATTATTCGTTTACAAAGCTTATCGTTTGATTACCTGCATATCTCGTCCGGCGCTGATGATTATCAAGGCAAGCAAGCCTTTGGTATTCATGAGTGAGCCAAGAGTCAAGCCTTCTCGCGGTGGCATGTTGCAAAAGATAGCCACAAGGAAAGTGCTCACAATTTTGGCCGAGGTAGCCAAGAACACGATCAACATCACCAACACCCAATCCGAGTCTTTACAAATGCTACTAAAATCCACTCGGAGGCCAGTCACCAAGAAAAACGTAGGCATCAGAATTGATTTAACCAAATCTTCCACCTTCCCCATGATCAAGTCCTTCAGCTCACCCTTGGGCATGATAACTCCCCACATGAATGCCCCCACGATTGAATGCGAGCCACATGCGTCGGTAATCAACCCGCACGCGACGACGCCCGTCATGACAAAGCAGATATGGAACTCATTGTAGTTCCCATCCTTGCTGCTAACGCGAACGAGCCACTTGAGTGCAGGGCGGAAGAGGAAAAGGCACATACAGACGAAAACAAACGTGGAAGAAACTGCGTAGTATTTGCCTACATTACTTATTGACATGGTGATCACAAGAAGCACCCAAGAGCAGAGGTCTGTGATAATAGCGGCAGATAAAGCAGTCCTACCGATCTCGGAATGCAGAAGCTTAACGTCGGAGAGGATCCGCGACAGGTCTGGGAAGTTGGTGGTGGCTAAGGAAATGCCCCAAAACAAAGGCCCATGGGCGGTGGCATTTCCCATCTTTGGTTTTTTCTGGTTGCTGTTGATCAAGTGATGCAGGCCAATTCCAATAGGAATTGGAAGAAGAAGACCAAGCACAGCAATGCCAATGGACTTCCCTCCAGCACGCACAATTGGGGCCATGTCCAGCTCCAAACCAACCAGAAATATGTAATAAACCAAGCTCAAATTCGCTACAGTTTCCAATGGCAACAAACTCTTCAAAGAAAATATGTATTTCACAAAAAAATCGGTCAGCCCCAGTAGGGACGGCCCCAGCAACACCCCAGCCTTCACCACCAGAAACAAACAAACAAACAAACAAACAAACAAAAGTCAACTTTTCTCACAGGAATTTCATCAAACACGTAGTGGGCATAACCAAAACATGAACATCAAACGAAACTTACAAGAATCTCAGCTACAATGGGCGGTTGGCGCAGGGGTCTCAAGAGGAAAATGAGGGCACGAGAGAAGAAAATAATAAGGCAAAGTTGGAGAGCAAATACAGGGAGAGTTGTAGCGACAGGATTCTCGGCCCGCCATAGAGAACCTTCGTGGGTTATATTGCTATTGTAACATACCAACATGTGATCATCGAACCTACCTAGTGTAGAATACTCGACAGGTTGTGGCCACTGCATTGTTGAGCGTCGCAACAGCCGAAAACGAAAGATTCCGTCTCCGGCGAGTCGGCCACAACCCTGTCGAGCGAACGAACAGAGGAAGACGAATTCAAACCGCAATGGAATTTTAGTGAGAGGGATGATGATTGATTGTGTCGGGGTAAATGAAGAACTGAGAGATTTGGGGAAGAACAAGATTGGATCGTTGCAAATTCAAAAAGCAGAATGGGTTATTTATGAGTTTCTCACCTCCAAAGGTTTGTCTGTTTTTCCGTTGCTGCCATTGTTATCGATTTGTTGCGCCGCTGTGTTAACGACCCTACAAACCAAATGGGGAAAATTCCACAATGTTGTTTGTTCGTTGGCACAAAATCAACCTGGCGCCAGGCGTTATGACCCAACTTTCTATTTATTTATTTGATCTAATTTTCGATTCTTCGGATGATTATATCAATTTAGGGTCACATAACTCACTAAAATTAAAATGAGTGGCATAGGATCACCTTCTGAAATATTAAATTTTTTAATAAAATATTTAATATTAAAATCTTCTACAAACTCCTTGTATGATGTCTTCATTATTATTATTTAATATAATACAGTTGTCCATGAATTTTGATGTTGGGCCATCATCATTTTCGGCCCACGCCAAAACAAACAGATACATAAATAAATAAAATAATTAAATAAATAAAAGGAAAAAGGAGAAGGGCAGATTTCTGTAAAACGGCACCGCATCATTATGCCTAAAGCTTGTGGTCTCTTCCATATGGCAGCCTACGAAACATCTCATTGATTTTAAATTAAAAAAATAAAAAAAAAAACTAAAAAAGAATTCCCTCGCTACTGGGCCCCGCCCTTACCGTCCTCCCATTTACAAATACAAATTTATATATTTAAATTATATAAAATAATGTTTTTTTTTGGTTCGCTTCTATAATAATTTAATAATTAATAACACCAATTTGATTGTCTCATAATTTTTTTTAATTATTTCTCCTACAATTAAAAATGTATAATTGTTATTAACTTATACATAACTAAATTTTTGTAGTTAAACAAATAAAAATAATCTTTAATTAGATAAATAATAATAAAAATTTATTAACTTTCCTTTAATGTACCTTTATATTATATTTTATATAATTCTTTTCTTTTTGCGTTTCAAATGATGAATGTTACATATCGCCGCAGCTCCTAACCCACTCTTTAAAATTCCCTCTCTGAATCCCACGATCTCCGCCATCACCACCGCCATATCCATTTCTCTATCAACCCTAAAACCCTTTTTCTACTTTCTCCATTTCTTCCCCTTTCCCTTTCCCCACCACCATGGCTGACCAAGAACTTCTTCTCACCGATGTCCCTCTTGCTGAGAAGGCTGACTGGAAGGACCTCCCACTGCTACCGGAACCGGCGGAAAAAGAGCCATTCAATGCTGCTACTCTGCCTCAAGGCGACGTTGCTACTGCCACGGAGGCTGAAGTTTTGAAGTCCGGCGATGGTGTGAAACTCACAGCCGATGTTGATTTTTTTAAGGAAGAGAGCACTAAAGTTGCCGATCTTTCGGATTCCGAGAAGAAGGCTTTGGAGGAGTTTAAGCAGCTTATTCAGGAAGCGCTTAACAAGTTCGAGTTCACTTCTCCTCCACCGTCATTGCCGGCCAAAGTTGAAGATACTGTATCGGAGGCCGTGGTGGAGAAGACGGAGGAACCGATTGATGATGCTCTGAAGCTCTCCAATAAAGAAGAGCCACTGAAGTCCGAAGCTAAAGTTTCCGAAACGAATGAAGATAAGGGAGTAGAAAATACCGAGAAATCAAATGAAACGACGCCTCCTGCGGCTGAGAAAGTGCTGGTCGCAGTGAAAACTGAAACCGCCGTGGACGACGACGGAGCAAAGACAGTCGAGGCAATTGAAGAGACTGTCGTTGCCGTCGCCGTTTCCGCCACAGCACCATCGGAGGAAGGCGTAGACAAAAACGCAGCCAACTCTGAGCCAACTTCGGCGGCGCCGGAGGAGGTTTCAATTTGGGGGATACCGCTACTGGCGGACGAAAGAAGCGACGTCGTATTGCTGAAATTCCTCAGAGCAAGGGATTTCAAAGTGAGAGAATCGTTCGCGATGATCAAGAACACAATCCAATGGAGAAAGGATTTCAAAATCGATGAACTGTTAGAAGAAGATTTAGGAACCGATTTGGAGAAAGTAGCGTTTATGCATGGATCAGACAAAGAAGGACATCCAGTTTGTTACAATGTGTACGGTGAGTTCCAGAACAGAGAGCTTTATCAGAAGACATTTTCCGATGAGGAGAAACGGCAGAAATTTCTCCGGTGGAGAATTCAGTTTCTGGAAAAAAGCATTCGGAAACTGGATTTCACTCCTGGTGGAGTCTGCACGATTGTTCATGTTAACGATCTCAAGAACTCACCAGGGCTGGGAAAATGGGAGCTTAGACAAGCAACCAAAGACGCCGTTCAGATCTTCCAAGATAACTACCCAGAATTCGTTGCCAGACAGGTTCTTAATCCAACTATAATTATTGTTATGATTATTATCATGTGATTAGTTGATGATTTTCTATTCTGATTTTGGATTTGGTTTTGAATCTGGGTAGGTTTTGTTTTAATCAATTTTCCTAAATCCAACTACAAATGTTGTTATGATTATGATGATGTGATTATAGTTCATGATTTTTATTCTGGTTTTGGTTTGAATTTGGGTAGGTGTTTATCAATGTTCCTTGGTGGTATTTGGCTGTGAATAGAATGATTAGTCCATTTATGACACAAAGAAGCAAGAGCAAGTTTGTGTTGGCTGGACCTTCTAAATCTGCAGAGACCCTTCTCAGGTACCTTCTTATTTGGATTGATTACAGCTTTTTGTTTCTGTAAATTGTAAAAACGATTACTGACCTTAAATTTAGGGACAATGTTCTTAAATTCTCTGGTTCGATGTATATGAAAAATGAGTTTTAAGTTTTTCTATGCAAAATATGTATATTTTATTGTAATTGGGGAACGTGGGAAGATTCGAAATGGGTGTAACTCTGAATTCTTTTGTTTGGAAGTCTCTTGGGGAAGAGAAGAGAATACAAAATTTAAATTTTACAAGAACATTTGGATAAAATACTGAGTTGATAATACACACACAGATACGTAACAGCGCAAGAGCTGCCAGTGAAGTATGGAGGAATGAGCAAAGATGGAGAGTTCGAGACATGTGATAGCGTGACTGAAATTACGATGAAACCCTCCGCCAAACACACTGTGGAATACCCAGTCACTCAGGTTGGTCTTTTCTTTTCTCCTTTCCTTAAATTCCAAGAAAGAGTGAGGATTAAAGGTTTTTTTTTTTTTTTTTTGTTCGGATGAGTAATTAAATGGGAAAAATTGTAGGTAGGGTAAACAATAAATTTGTTTTGGATCAAAAAAGAAAAAAAAAAAAGAAAGAAAGAAAGGGATATTTGTGTTAAAAGATGTGCATTTGTTCATTGGATTCTCTGGAAATGGCAGACGAAATGGGGCATGAGGAGTGAGGGCTCAGAGTCTTTATTTTAATGGGGTGTTGGAAATTCCCTGTTGTGTTTTGTTTTTTGTTTTTCCCCTTTTCTTCAGGTTTGGTTGTAAGAAAACAGAAGAGTATAGCATCATATCTCGTATTCTGTGTTCCACATCACATTGGATACTTGAATTAATTTTGGATGTGTGTGTGTGTGTGTGTGTTTACTAGGGATGCGTGGTTACGTGGGAGGTTAGAGTGGTGGGATGGGAAGTGAGGTACGGCACAGAGTTCGTGCCGAGCCAAGAGGGAGGAGGAGGCGGAGGGTACACAGTCATAATCGAGAAGCCTAGAAGAGTAGTAGCAGCGTCTGATCCTGTTCTTTCAAATACCTTTAAGACTTCTGAGGCTGGTAAGCTGGTCCTGTCCCTACACAATCCCACCTCCAAGAAGAAGAAACTCCTGTACCGCTTCAAGACCAAATCTCTTTGATAATCCTTTCCATTCCTACATTCTTCTTCTCCTTATTATTATTATTATTACTATCCTCCCTTTGTTATATACGGTTTTAATTTATATGAACTCTTTATGAGGTTTTGTCAAATCACAAGGAAGGAGTCCTATCTCTTAAATAGATTAAATTAAATTGTACTAACTTTGTAATTTATTTTTGAAAATATGTGAACCTGATATTATTTTTTAGGGGAAAGCTTTTAATGGGCTGATAAGCAAATCAAAATTTTGGGCCCTAATGTTTAAAATGGGCCGTCAAACCAAAATTTGGGTTTATTCCAAATTTAGGATAAAATTGGAATGTTGTATTCAAATCTATTTGGACACAAGTTGGACATATATCGATGAATATACATACGGTCATTATCACTATTTTTTCAAATATTTATTCATTTTTCCTCAATGTTTCTTTTTCAACGCTAACTTTCACAATATCTCCCTTATTTTATCCACTTTTTGTTGTCCTATTTTTCCATTTTTCTTCTCTCTATAACCGACCTAACTGCAAATAACATCTACAGATACGGATCGAAATAAGTGTGTATGTACACTGATGGTATTCGATTGGATTGAAGAGATCTTTTGGACCAATCCAGAGTGTTTTCGATTGGATATTTACAAGTCACCTCATTGATATCGATTACAAACGTTAAATATTTTTAATAATAGTTTTAAAAGTAAATTAAGGTTAAGTTGCATTGAGTTGTAACCTTATTTTTGTGTCCGTCGAGGGAGATTTAGGAAAGACACGAATAGAGAGCGTTTCCATGCCACATTCAAATGGTGATGGCATGGCCACCACGTTGCCTGTTTGAAAGAAAGTGTGAATTTCGAGCTTATCATTTTTGAATTATGGCACCAACTGTCTATTGCTCTCATAATTCATCTCCCATATTCCTCCACTTTTTAAATCTTATAAATACTTTTCCATTTTATTTTAATTTAGTTCTGAAAATTTTAAAGTATAGAATGGATCCAAAATGTGATCCAAGTCCTACTCCATCCCCTTTAATTTCTTGGTATATTTAATATTATATATTAAAAAATTTAAATTAAAAATAAGGTAGGGTCGAATAGCCTTATAAAACTACATTACGCCTTTTATGAATCCCAATTTTGTGTTACAGTTATGAACTAAACACACTTTGTGTTGCTTTATTTGACCTAATGTGATTTCGAGCCTTGTACTTGTACTTGATTGAGGCAATTCAAATACAAAACGAGTCTAGGTGAATTATAATTTGGTCAAGTGATCGTTTGAATCTCACCTAAGTGGGTGAGACCTATTTGGTATGGTATTGATCCTCCAACCTCTAGATTAGCTCATGGGGTCTCACCGTATCAAACTAGGTTTACTAGGCAGGTTTCGGGTTTACATAATTAGCCTACAATCCACCTAGTCACATTGGTTGGGTTGTCGTCTTCTAAATCAAGTGCTTCTTGTCTCATTTCATAAATTAGGACCCACCTAATTGAATCGTTCGAACCCACTTCGATAATTATTAATTATTAATGTTCAAAGAATCTCACCCATAACATTACATATTTCTTATTATTAAAAAAAAACCATCGTAAAGTAAAGTTTCCCTTTCCAAATATCTTCCATTAGGTCTTCATAATAAATAACTAAACTAAATTTAAAGTGAAGCTTATCCTTTAAAATTCATCTACTACAAGCCAAGCCTAGCCAAGCCAGGATGACTTTGTTGACTTTCAACCAAGAGAGACCCAAAGGATTTAATTGATAATCCAAAAAAGTTAGCTTGAAATGAAATCAATCAAGCAATGAATCACCCACTTGCTATCATATTCCACGGCTGCCTTTTTGCAAACTTCTTTAGAAAAAAGAGCTCTCTCGCACTGCCGTCACAGGTCAAGGAATGAAACGGTGGTGATGAGGAAGGGGATATTAGAATTAGAACAAGTGTGAACCCTCAAAAAGAAAACAAAAAAAAACCCCAAAATTCAAAGGGTACCCCCACATCTTCTCTCCTCACCGAACGGCGTTTTTACAGATCCGAACACACTTCCCATATTAAAGAACCCCAAAAAAGTGAGTATCAAAAGGAAAAACGAGGTGGGATTTCAATTGAAGAGGCAGTGATTGGGTTCTAGCTGGTGCTTGTGGATTCCCATACCCTCTATTCAATCGCTTTCTTCGTGTTTGTAAGCCCAATTCCACGTGCTTTCTTTCCACTTCTTTAAGTTTCTATAAGTATTACACCCTTTTTCGTATATTTCAGATCTGATCGCGAAACCCCATTTGGTATTTTGAATCGAATGAGCTTAGAAACCCTTTCTTTATATTGCTATTGATTTTTGTTCTGTTTTCTTCTTGTGGGTTTGTGGACGCTGTTTGATTCTGCGTAGAAATGGATAAATATGAAGTTGTTAAGGATTTGGGTGCCGGGAATTTTGGGGTTGCTAGGCTTTTGAGGCACAAGGAGACCAAAGAGCTTGTCGCCATGAAGTACATAGAACGTGGTCATAAGGTTCATTCTGTTCTTGATTCAATTCATTCGTTGTTGCTTTGAGATTAGCCTTGTTTATCATATGGATGGCTTAATTGGGGGTTTTGATGCTTTGTTGTATTGACAGATAGATGAGAATGTGGCTAGAGAGATTATTAACCATCGATCGCTTCGGCATCCCAATATCATTCGTTTCAAGGAGGCAAGTTCTTACGTTTTTTAAGGTTTCTGTAATCTAATATCATGCAATTGGTGAAGTGTTGATGAAGCTGTTGCTATTAAATGCATCAAGTTTTGGATTAAGAAATAGATTTGAAGTTGGTTTATGATTTGCAGGTTGTTTTGACGCCAACGCATTTGGCTATAGTGATGGAATATGCTGCTGGAGGAGAGCTTTTTGAAAGGATTTGCAATGCTGGACGTTTTAGTGAAGATGAGGTCTATTATCTACTCTCTCTCTATCATACACTAGGGATTACTAGCTTTATTACTGAGGGGTTTTCCTTGTGGTAATGTGAGATCTCTCATTGGTTGGGGAGGAGAACGAAACATTCTTTGTAAGGGTGTGGAAACCTCTTCCTAGCTAACGCGTTTTAAAGCCTTGAGGGAAGTCTGAAAGGGAAAGTCTAAAGAGGACGATATCTGCTAGCGATGGGGTTGGGCTATTGCAAATGGAATTAGAGCTAGACACTAGGCGGTGTGCCAGTGAGGATGTTGGGCCCTCAAGGGGGTGGATTGTGAGACCCACATCGGATGGAGAGGGTAAAGAAGCATTCCTTATAAGGGTGTGAAAACCTCTCCTTAGCAGACGCGTTTTAAAAACCTTGAGGGGAAGCTCGATTGGGAAAGTCCAAAGAGGACAATATCTGCTAGTGGTAGGCTTGAGCTGTTAAAAATGGTATCATAGTGAGACACTAGGCGGTGTGCCAGTGAGGATGCTAGGCCCCCAAAGGGGGTGGATTTTGAGGCACCACATTGGTTAGAGAGGGGAACAAAGCATTCCTTATAAGGGTATGGAAGTCTCTCCCTAGTATACGCGTTTTAAAAACCTTGAGGGGAAGCCCGAAAGGGAGAGTCCAAAGAGGACAATATCTGCTAGTGGAGGGCTTGGGCTGTTACAAATGGTATTAGAGCCAGACACTGAGGGGTGTGCTAGCGAGGATGCTAGGTCCCCAAAGGGGGTGGATTTTGAGGCACCACATTGGTTAGAGAGGGGAACGAAACATTCCTTATAAGGGTGGGAAAACCTCTCCCTAGCAGACGCGTTTTAAAAACCTTGAGGGGAAGCCCGAAAGAGAAAGTTCAAAGAAGATAATATCTGCTACCGGTGAGCTTGGGCTGTTATAGGTAAAATGGGTTGGATGTTTGGAGATACCCTCCAATTTGTAGATTCAAGCCGAAGGCTCGAAAACTTCACGGCTTAAAATCTTTGATATCCCTCGAAATTGACCTTTGGGGTGAGCAGAGCCTTCCTAGGAACCAGTGGGGTGGACTACGAGTATAATAGAAGAATTTCTAGCTTTGTGAAGTCATGTAATTCTCTTATCTTATTTTTACAGGCAAGATATTTCTTCCAGCAGCTGATTTCTGGAGTCAATTATTGCCATTCAATGGTAGAATTAAAAGCAAACTAAGCCTCATATGGTTTCTTGTTTTAAAATTCTATACCATATCTTATTTGACACGATGCATTGCAGCAAATATGTCATAGAGATTTAAAGCTAGAGAATACCCTTTTAGATGGCAGCCCCGCCCCACGCTTGAAGATCTGTGATTTCGGCTACTCCAAGGTCTTTGAAGATGAGAAATTTATTCGATCATTTCTCGTTAACATGCTCTTTGATTCATTTTTTCTCTGTATTTATGCTGTCGTATTGTTCGTTTCTTCTGTAGTCATCGCTGTTGCATTCAAGACCGAAATCAACTGTTGGTACTCCGGCATACATAGCACCAGAGGTTCTTTCTCGACGAGAGTATGATGGAAAGGTACATATGTCCATATTTTTCCAATTTCCTTGACCTTTCAAGATACGTTCACGTTTTCACGGTCGTTTATATCAAGAAACACCTTCCTTTTTGGGGATAATCGAGTTTTATGTCCTAGATTTCTGTTTTTCATTAGTTTGAGCACAAAGATTTGATTGTAAATCATGGCTCTCATTGTGCATCAAGATAGTATGGTTATCGGTATCATTAGAACGATTTGGAAACGGATTCTGTTTGTTCAAACACTGAAATGACTCGATCTTCTGTTTCGTCGTGTGTAGTTGGCAGATGTATGGTCATGTGGAGTGACTCTCTATGTTATGTTGGTTGGTGCTTACCCTTTTGAAGATCAGGATGATCCTAGAAACTTCAGGAAAACCATTCAGGTTCATCTCTCGCCCTGCTGCATGGTAATGTTAGTAAAGTGATCATCTTTTTCATTTTTTTTTCCGTTATCCTGCAGCGAATAATGGCTGTACAGTACAAGATACCCGACTACGTTCACATATCTCAAGATTGTCGACACCTACTGTCTCGCATCTTTGTCCCGAATCCATCAAGGGTATTTTTCTGTCACAAAATTATATATTCTTATCATTACCTTATTTTCGAGTTCTATATAAAATTATCGCCTTCACTTCATATCATTAGTTTTGTTTGACATTCTGAATCTTGTGAAATGGTACAATAGTAGCGTAGGAGCGAGCTCGATCGGTCTTAATGAACTGTATAACATGCCATTCTCATTGAAATTTGATGCCAAAACACAAGACCCATCTTTGTGTCTCTAAATTTGGTGAAACTGCTTGAAATATCTGAAGTTTGTCCTATTTCCTAGCTCATAGAGTGATTATTCTCAGCTCGAAGTCTCGGGAAACGAGCTGAAAAGGGTTTCTAGCAGCTAGTTTATTGTCTGTGAGAACAAAACATGCTTCACTTTTGTCCTCAGACGTCGACACCCCATACAATTTCTCTACCTTAGACCATCCTTAATAGGTTCTAACACGAGGATAAAATTCTAGATCTTCCAAAGTGATATCTTTTTCGAGTTCATATATCCTCTAATCCTACGTTTAGTTCGATTTCATTATGATGTTTTGAACTTGATACGACAGAGAATTTCACTAAAAGAGATAAAGAGTCACCCATGGTTCTTAAAGAACTTGCCAAGGGAACTGACAGAATCAGCCCAAGCCATCTATTACCAAAGGGGTAGCCACCCGAGCTTCTCGCTTCAAACGGAGGAAGAAATCATGAAGATCGTGGGGGAGGCAAGGAACCCGCCCCCATCGTCAACGACCGTGAAGGGGTTTGGATGGGGAACGGAAGAGGAAGACGAAGAAGGCAAGGGAGAGGTGGAAGAGGAGGAGGAGGAGGAGGACGACGAGGACGACGAAGAAGACGAGTACGATAAGAGGGTGAAGGAAGTGCATGCGAGTGGAGAATTCTTGATCACTTAGAAACAGAGCATAACATAGAGTAAGTGGTGTTGTTATTATACTGTCAAGGTTGGTCGTTGTTATGTGTACAGTAGTGTTGAATAATTATGGCTCTCCTCCACCCTCCTCCGCATAGCAGACTTAAAGAGTAAGTTCTTAATGTGTTCATATATTGTTGGTTAAAGGTCTGCAAACTCTAAAAGCTATAATTTCTCTCTCTATTGTCACTTCTTGTTATTGTGCTACTCAATAATTCAATGTAGTTGGACTTGTTTTTGTGTTTCTTTACCTGTTTCTATCTCTCTTTAACACTTCCTCTGCTTATTTTGGAGGTCTTTTATGCACTAGGATTGAATGATTTGCGTTAAACGAACACGACCCTCGATGATTAACTTGCAACCTAAATTTGGTTATCGATCTAATAAAGACCGACCTATCTAATAGTATACTAAGAGGTTTAGTGTGAGATCTCATATCGATTGAGGAGGAAAACGAAATATTCTTTATAAGGGTGTGAAAACCTCTTCCTAGTAGATAGTGTTTTAAAAACCTAGTCCAAACGGGAAATATCTGTTAGTTGTGGGAAAGTCCAAAAATGACAACGAACTCAAACGATGGTAGGTGGTGGTTGTTCACACGAGGAAGCTGAACACTCGATCGGATATGACACTACGGGTTTGTATCGAATTTGAATATGACGAGGAGAGGAGAAAACTTGGTAAGAAGAAAGTATCGAAATATGAGATCCAATGAATGCATCTTTTACTACCTATACAAGACTTTGTTCAAGGAGTGCGACAGTCGAACAGTAGCGAAATGGAGACAAATGACAACGAAATAGAACGATTGTAAATGGCGGTGGTTCGCACGAGGAAGATGAGTCAAGGAAGCCGAACACTCGACCGGACGTGAAATCACTCGACCAGACGTGAAATCGAACCATACTACGAGCCCGAACATCGTAGACCCAAGACCAAAATTAGGATTTGGTCAAAAATAGCATTTCCTTGTGAAGAAAACAAACAATATGGGTTGTAATGGAATTTTGATTTCACAGTTTGTTTGTTCTAACTGTCCTATGAGTTGTAATGTCATATGGGAATTACAATCCTTCCTTTCTTCTTCTCTCTCTCAAAACAATGCTGCAAGGCATCATCGTAATGGAGAAGCCAGGCACCCAAACTCCTGTCAAGTGCAAGCCTTTGACCACGTTCGTCCAAACCGACACGACCGCGTTTCGAGAGATCGTGCAACGTCTAACCGGGCCATCGGAAAGCTACACGCTGCCATCGTCGAAGGCCGCGGGATCAAAGAGGCCGACCTCAACATCCAAACTGCATGAAAGGAGGCATTTGACAAGACCAAAGCTACAAATTGTGAAACCATCTCTTTCCCATTTCAAGCCTCCTAGCTTCATTACGAGCCCGGTCGGGACACCACCGAGAGCTGATCATCCTAGCTTCATTACGAGCCCTGTCGGGACACCGTCGAAGATCATGTCGAAGCTGTCGATCGGGGTCGGGGAGAAGGAGCTGAACAGCATTGAAGAAGAGAAGGCAACGAGAGAGAAGAGATTTTATTTGCATCCATCTCCAAGGTCCATGCATGGGTCTGCCCAACCAGAGTTGCTTTCTTTATTTCCTTTGGAATCTCCTACAAAAACAAGTCAGAAACCATGAAATAAAATAAAATCCAAGGTCCATGCAAAGCTTTCTCTTGGCGTGCCCGAGCCATGACTGTAATCGAGTTTTATCGTACTTTCGTATTAGATTAAACGACTCTAAGCTAAACGACTAGACACTTCAAACACAATATGAATAACTTCATATTAAATTGCTAGGCACCCGAAACACCCTTTAAAGTAGACTTTGTCAAATTCACAAATTTTATTATAGGTTAACTATAACTGAGATTTTATTATCATCATCAACTTTACTCCTTTTACAAGTCAATTATCGATAAATTGTGTTCATTTTTGCTCTCCAAAACTATACTCAAATTAGCATAAGAAAACGTTAAAAAATGAAGCTAAACTAATAAAAACACCTAATATCCTTAAACTTTCCAAAAATTATAAAAAAAAATATCATTACAAATGGACGTGTTTAAAAAAAAAACATTTCAATCTTTTTGAATATCATTAGTGTTAGTACTACGTTTAAAAAATACTCATCCAATGTTTAAAATAGCGATTACCTTTAAAAATAAAGTTCAAATTATTGTTACTACCAACATATAGACGAAAATCGTCATTGATATATCATAGATTATGTCTAAACTTTTTTATGTTACTTGAAAATTTATGAATATTTTTTTTAAGCGTGGTACTAATGATTAAAAATGTTTTTTTAATTTTTTTAAAAATATGAGAGTATTAATGAAACATTTTAAAATTTTAAAATTTTAAATCATTTTTTAAAATTTAAAGCAATTTTTTTTAAACAAATCTGAGCTAATATGCTGGAAAAAAAAAAAGAAAAAAAAGAAATATGCTGTCCAAATGGCAAAATATAGATATATGTATATAGATGGAGTTGAGATATTTATATTTTGTGGGTGACGTGGCCATCTCATGGCATCCTTCACCTCCAAAAGCAGTTCTCCAAGAAGAGGGGAATAAAATACCAAAGCTTCTTCTAAACTCTACCACCAATTTCTCCCTTTGTGCCTATCTTAGATTTGCTGGAAGAAGAAATGGCGACGCCGGCGGTGGTGGGGGGTCCCGGCGGACGAGGAGGAGGAGCAGCAGTAGCACCAACAGCAGGCGGACAGCAACAGCAACAAGGAGGCTTCGCTCAGTCTCTTACTGGAATCATAAGGATCGCAGTCTTTTGGTACTTCGCTTCTAAATTCTTTGCTCCCAAGAAGCCCTCTGATCCTGCTATTCTAATGTCCAATCTCTTTCAGAAGGGTGAACCGCTGGTAAGTATGCACTTGGATCGTTAAATGTGTCGTTGAATAATGGAATTGAATTGAATGTTTGATGATTCCGTTGTACTTGTTGTTCTCCCTGTTCTGTATTGCGAGTAATGGTTTGAACAATTTTGGATTTGATTTCCTTGAGAATATTTATATTTGGTTTGTATGCTGAATGCTTCTCTCGGAAATTCGAACTGAGCCTGCTGGATGCTGAGAAGAGTATGGAATAGCTTTTTCACTCTAGAAATCATAGTCGGTTACTTATGTTTCCCGATGTTTGTCGTTGAAGATTGAAGTGATTGGAAGTTCATTTTCGTTGCACTCAATTCATATGTATACGAACGTGTATGTTAAAAAACGAAGGCATTTCATTTTTTTTATTCTAATGTGACGACAACCTAATCGTACTAGGAAACTCATAGAATTTTTATATTTTAGTTCGACAGCCACCTTGGAGTTCGAACTCATTCCCTCTCTCTCTTTACTTCTTTTTCTTCTCTAGTCTGAATGACCTCTAGTAGCCACCATGGTGGTTTGAAGGCAATTGTTGAATATTATTCTTGGTGAACTGGGAGTTTCCTGATTTGATATTTAAGCTGTTATTGCTGTAAATAATAAAACTTAACTGTTCTTAACATCGTAGGACAAATATGGATTATTTTTGTCTAATTTTTACTTTTAATGATAGATCCTGTTACCAGTTGCATTAATTTCCTTTAGGATATGTGGGTGTATCTTTCTGAGCATGAAAGGTTTAATGACTTTGGAGATGAAGGTGCGCTTGTTTGGCATGAGAATGGTATACCTTATGCTGTTTGGGGGCAAGAAAGTAGCAGGTCTCTTTCATTCAAGTACTATCCATCTGAGGTACTGTTGAACTTATTGCAGAAACATCTGTATATTGTTTTTTTTAGTCCCGTTTTTCATTCATGATGTCAGAGGGTTTTGAGGCAATAGCTCTTCTTATAGGCTTTGAAACAAAATGGAACCTTGTATGCACATGTCTTCTTTGCACGGTCAGGATACACTCCAGACCCCAATGACCCAGAGTTTCAGCCTCTTGCTACATTTGGAAGGGCACATCGTAAGATCAAATTTCTCTCCTTGTTATCTTGAGCGTCAGATTTTTCTGTTTCATCTATGATCAAGCAATGCAAGCTCTTGAGGATGGTACTTCTATTCATTTCAGCTATCGTGATGTATTTTCCCAAGTCAAAAGCAGGTAAAAGGAGGAGTTTATTGGGTAGTTCTGAAGGTTCTGATACTGGTGAAACTCTGAAAGAGGTGATTCCTTTGTAGTTGAGTAGTGTGTTTTGATAACTTTTGTTCACTGATATAAAAGTCATGCAAAGAGATTCTAATTAGGCCACACACCCTTGAGCGATCAGATGCTTTATGTGCTTGTTGTTTGTTTGAATGGGGTTTTCTATGATTACGATGGTCTTCTTTTGAGGAGAATCACATTTATTATTAAGATTGTCATCATCATGTACAATTCTTTCTCCCAAGTCATCTTTATAAACCAAAAGACGATTCTCTAGAATCTGCAGAAAGATTCTAGTCACACTTTCTGTTTTTGATGCGTATACTGTACGTGACAGGGAGAGAAGCACGTTGATTGGATTGGTTGGGCTTATATAGTTCAAGTGTATAACTAAATACTTTCACGGCATATTGATGCTTTTGGCATTTAAATTGCTACAGAAGTACCTCTGATAGGGGTCAGATATATTACAAACGCTCCTTATGAGCACCAGGATATTTAAGGTCTGAGTTTAGTAGAATGACATGAAATAATTGTGTATGGGATCATAGTTTTAGTGTGTATTTTCCATTATCTATCCAATGATTCAAATTGCACTAGTATTTCTGTTCTGTTCTATTTTGCTCTATTTTTCTTTACAGATTTCATTTGATGGTAATCAATACTTGATCAATGTTCAAGAAATATCATTCTTATTCGAAACAAATGACACTTTTTGTTGCTCAAGGTTATTGATGATGACCAAGTTGATCTGAAAGATGACGGTCCTGTGGAGTGGGTTTCCTATTGGAAACCAAATGTTACTGTTAATCTAGTCGATGATTTTACCCGGTATGTTTACAATATTTTAGTCTTTAATCTCTGCAAGTTTCTAGAGCAATAAAATTATGAAAAATTTGATGTTTTGTATCTTTTTTTTCTTTTATCAATTTCTTGTAAAATTTAATTTTTTGCTTTTATGATAAATATTCTTTGTACTTTACTTTTGATAAATCAAATACGTGGGATCTACTGTGATAGTTCTCTTGGGACCTAATCTACTATGATGGACCTTTCAGCATATCTATCTATTTCTGTAACTTCTGTCAATGGCATAAAGCATCGCTAACGTCTATTTCTTGTCCCTTGATATATATATGTGTATATATATATATATATATATATAAAATATGTATATATAAAATATGTATATATATAAAATAACTGTGACCTCATGTTTTCATCTTTATCTCCTTATGTGGTGCATTAGTCTCGTTCCAGATCTACTAATGCTTAAGAATTTTCTTTTTTTTGCAGATATGCTCATAATGGCGTCCCACCAAATATTGCTCCTTGTATCCTTTTATGTTCCTTTGTCCATCTTCATGAATATGGTTTTTTTTCTTGGCATCTCCAAGGTGGTAAAGTAACAAAAGAAATATGAAAGTGGTTGATTGAAGTTCCTTTTTGTAGTTTGGCTCCCTTTTGCGGGCTTCCATTTTGTTTGCCTTATATTCTTTCTTTTTTTTTTTCTCAGTGAATGTTGGGCTATTCACAAAAAAAAAAAAAAAAAAAAAAAAAAAAAAAAAAATTTTTTT